CATTAAAAGATCTCCATACATGGCCATGTTTGGTACTGATGTGAAAATTGGTTTGTCATCATTTTTACTACCAGCTGAAACAGTGGAAAAATTAACCACTGAACAAGAATTGGAAGAAATATTGCAAAGTGTCGTGTCAAACTATGAACAAAGAGAAAATCATAGTGTTTCCGATAATTACTGTGAATCGTGTGGCTGTACTCTTGGTAATGAACAAACATCTATTTGTGGTTTGTGTGATAAAAAAGTAATTATATTACAAAACAAGTTTTATTTAGGAAAAAATGTTATTTATTTTTATTAAAAATGTTTCAGAACACCATAGAAAATGAGAGAAGCAATTCAAAATTATCGCTTGAGCAACAAGCAAAAAAAATGAAGTTCAGATCCATCAACAAATTCCCACCATGCAATGTTGGCGACACAGTTAGAGTCAAACTACCAGAAGTAGACAGAAGTAAGGGTGATCCACAGAATGTACTCTTTGCGATTGTGTCTATAAGTGATAATCAATATTACGAACTCGGTAATAAAAATGGCACTCTTCATCAACTTTATTCCAGAAATCAATTCACTGTATGCTCTGAACCATTAATAGATATTTTAGAAGTTTTAGCCACAAAAAAATCTTTGCGTGAAATAGCTAATGAACAATCTTTTTCCGGTGGTCAAGGTTTTAAGAAGTGTTTATGTAAAACTACATGCTTAACAAATAAATGTAAATGCAAATCCGGGGGAATACTTTGTAATTCTAAATGTCATCCAAACTCAAATTGTTCTAATAAATAATTGTATTTCGCTTAAAATAAATAGTAAATAGTAAATAGTAAAATTGTTCAAATATATAATTTATAGTTTAATCGTAATAATAATAAATAATTTTTTTTTGAATTAGTATAATTTGGTTTTTGCTACTAGAAAGACTTTGTATAATCTGTACCATTTACCGAAGTTATAAGTTTACGATTATAGTTATACGAATACATTATCCACAGCACACCGGATAATGTATAAATTGATTGGATACTACATATTTAAGGTGGATAATGTATACATTACACTGTTCGTATGGATGAGGTTCACATTACCCGGGTAATATGTACACTAACCATTTTTATACTTTACCCGTAACATATATATAAACAAATTTTTATTTCGACTGACCATTATCATCTGCGTGCATACGGCTTACGTATATATTCCTACCGCCGTTTATACCTAAGGTATAACGTTAGTCCGATCCGCCCGCCAACAAAACACGGCTATACCTAATGCATGATACGTTTACGTACTTAAGTCGCTTTACATGTATATATATATATATATATATATATATTTTAATTACTATTAAAAATATACATTAACACACTTTATTCTTAATAGAACTCATTCATTCCGATTACAAAGGATGAATCCAGTATCGTCATTTTTCGTCACTACCACCATATTCCGGGAGTGGGTAATTTACGCGCCTGCTTGCTTTCCTTGGATGTGGGAGCCGTTTCTCAGACTCCGTCACCGGAATCGAACCCTGATTTACTGTTACCCGTTACAACCATGATATTGATAGTAACTACTATCATAACATGAAACTAAAAAGTAAAAAATAAATATAGTTTAAAAAAACTAAAAAAGCACGCTTTTAAAGCACATCGAACTAAAAAGTTAAAAATAATTATGAACAAAAAATACTAGTATTATTGTGATAAAAGCGTGGGTGCTTTGTGCCATATTTTTCGTATATTGAGCGCTCGATGCTTTTATCACAATAAGACTAGTATTTTTTGTTCATAATTCTTTTAAACTTATTTTAAAAATTATTTTTAACTTTTTAGTTCGATGTGCTTTAAAAGCGTGTTTTTTTTAGTTTTTTTTAAACTACTTTTATTATAGACACAACTCCATATAGTGTACTAATTGAGGAAAGTTTATTGAAGAATAAAATTTAGTAATGTTAAACTGTCGGTTAAAAAGTCAATTAAATTATAATTAGATTAATATTATTAACCTTTTAAAAAAATATTTTTGAATTTCCAAAAATTTATTAAGTAAAACTTTTTTAACAAAGAAGAAATTAATTTAAATTATGATTTAATTTGTTAAAAAAAAAGTACATATAAGCTGCATACCTATAAACTCAATATTTTAATAATAAAATTATAAAATAATAACTAAAAATAAAAGTATTTTTCGGTTATGAAGCATTATAAATTCGACAAGCAACAATAAATTAATTTCTTCAACAGAACTACCATATTTTACTATTTATTCACTCATTTTATACTTTTTTATATAATTAATTTTTTTTTTGAAATTATTGTATGTCATAAAGAATGAGTATTTCGACAGCGATAATAAAGTTCTCATATAAAATTTCAATATTTGACAAATTGATCCACAAAATTAATAACGTATTATAGATATTTCTTTTTTGTAATTTTATAATTGTATTTTTTTTCAAAAGCGCGTACCAGCGGCATCACTTTCCGTTGATGCTAGCTAGATACAGCCCGCCATTTTTTTCTGTGTAACTTTATAAAACGCGTACCAGCGACAAGACTTTTTGTACAAGTAGGCCAGGTACTGCCCGTTTTTTTTTATTATGTAAATGATAAACACATTTTTGTTACACCATATACAAATATTAAATTGTGTGCAATAATTTAATTAAAAAGAAGTAAAGAGATTAAACAAGTCCAATAAGTTATAAATTAAAACAAAAAAAATCCAGTATAAAAATGCTTGTACAAAATTAAATGAAAACCTTTAAATACTTATTAATCACATAAATACTATTTTATGTAACAAATATCGAACGACAACTAAGAGAAATAATCAATTAAAAATTAAACCCAAAAATATTTACAAATTTTAATTTAACTATTATTTATTGGTATATAATAATTGCTATGTATAAAACTACTTAATGAATTGATCGATTGTATTTAAATTACTTATTTGACAGTTCAACAATACTATAACAATTCATTTATCTTTAAATATTTATCATAAAATAAACTACTAACACAGCTCTGCATTGCTTCGTTATACACGATGCCACGCCACTCTAGCCATCTTTATCAGCCGTCGCCCTACTAATGAGTATTTGACTGACCAACATTGCGTGCCATAAAGCCACGGTCCAACAAGTGCCGCACGGCCGACGACGCCCTCCGCAAACTATGCACGTTGAGTCTTCTTCCCGTTGTTAACACTACACGTCGAGGATGTACGCCACCGGCTCCGGACGTACTACACAACCGGACTCATGGAACCGCACACCAAAGCCATCAAACGCTGCTAACTTTAGACGCCGAGGATCATTGCCGGACACAGCGTCGTCGACGTCAGTGAAAGTGCCGCGATATTATATGAAGATTATTATTACAGCGATCGTCTTTTCAGTTTGTTTTTTAAAAATGACCTAATGTTGCTCATTAATAAACGGCATACGGGTCACTACCCTCAAAACTAGTGTGGACTACATTATTGCGACGAAGTCGTTTCACTACTTAAATATTGTACTAAATTTAAAATAGCCGTTTGATAATAAATAAATAATTACTTAAAATATAAATTTACTAAAAAAATATAAAAGTTGAATTAAATTAGTTAAAAAATAGAAAACCTGAAAGCATTTTCAATAATAGTTTTTAATTTAAATATTATTTATTATTTGGTATGTATAAAATTACTTGATTGTTAGTTTTAAATGATTTGTTTGACACTTTAACAATATTATTATAATAATTAATTTATTTTCAACTATTGATAGTCAATTCAGCATACTTAAATATTATACTAAAATTGCAATGAGGCATAAAATAAATACTTAGAATACAGAATCAAAGATTTTCCTAAAAATTTATTTGAAATTTCTTCTTTATTTTCTTCATATAAGATATAAATTTAGACATTTCAAATTACAAAAATAATTAGTTTTTGTTTATTTATTGTATTATAAATACTTAGAAAAGGAAAAACAGGTACAGTTGTCTTAATGTTAACTGATTTAAGACATTTAAAACAAAACTACGTATACGCACAGTCTGCATAAACACCATTGATCTTAAGCCGGATTCCCACGACTGGTGTACTTGGAAAGTACACCAATAATTGTATACTTGCCAAATCATCCAATTATTAACAAGTGGAGCGTTCCCATGGCTGGTATACTTGACAAGTATACCAGAAGTTGTACACTTGTACAAGTAATAAATAAAAGCCAAGTATACTATTCCTACGACTGGATCAAATGCCAAATAATTGTATTGGGGGTGGGACCTGAAAAATATTAAGTCATGTATCATTTGCCTTTTTAGCGCTGCAGTGTTTGGACGTTTCAGTGAGTGATTTAAAATACATTTTTTAGTATTGCTAGTTTTGATACTTTTTTGATTATTTTTTTTTTAGTTAAAATAGTTCTTTAACTTTAACTATAATTTTTAGTTTTTATTTATCTAATTAACCTTAAGTTAATTTAAATGGCTATTTACGCTTCATACATAATTATGTGTGGAGAGTACTTAAAGTACAAACAATTAATTGAAAAAAAAAATGTAAAAATATGTTACCGTAAAATTAGATGAAGGTTTTACCAAACAATTGAACAGCCACCACTTCAAAATAGAGTTTTGATAGCGAAATGCATTCAACTTATATCATTAATACACTTATCTAGTTTTTTTAGTAATTTGGCAATTCTAGTTAAGCCTTTTACTTATTTACTACCTATATTCATTTTTCGATTGCATTCTTATTATGATTACTTACAGATGATACTTACTGATATAAACATCAAGAATTATCAGTTTACTTAATTTCTATGAGCAGTGTTGGTTGCAAAAACAAAAAATTGGCCGATTAATTCATTTTTATTTAATTATAGCCATCGAAGTTTGAAATAAAACTATTTTTACAGACATAGTTCTAATATAACTTTATAAAATAGAAAATGCTATTACTATTAAATATTTTTCAGTACTAAACTGTATTAATCTTGTTTTCGGTATCCAACAACAATAGCAATTAAACCAAATTTGAGGTTAGTTTCCATAAAAATTAAATAAAAAAAATACGACAGAGTAAAACTAATAGTGCCTCAGCTACGCACCGTATATAATTTTTTACTTGCAAAAATGAAACTGAATTTAACAAATATAAACATTTTAGTAAAATATTAAACTATCCAATAATATTTATTTTATACTTAATATTCATAAATTAATAAGTTATATAATTAATACATTATGTAATCAACCTTAACTATTAAATTATATTTATAATTATACTATAAAATAGTTTTACTTATCTATTAAATTAAATCAACTAATTAGGCCAACATAAACCACCGCTGTACTGTACAAATATAGGTGGGTGGGGAAGAAAAAATTGTGTTACCGATAGCCACCCTAAAATCAAATATTGGATAAGTATTTGACAAGTACACAAGTGTGCACTAGTGAACGACAAGTGTAAACTTGTCAAGTTTAATTAATTCCTTTCACTTGTGTTACATTTACCCACAATCTGCGGGAAACTGACAAGTGACCAATAATTGTACAAGTATAGTGTTCCGACGGCTTGACAAGTATACACAAGTGACAAATATTTGTCAGGTACACCAGTCGTGGGAATCCGGCTTTAGAAACATGGATACGATAATATTCACAATTTAAGCTCTTGTGTTTTTGCGGTCTGTACTGATATGAATATAAGACGACCGTTTTTTAACACGCTTATATTAGTCTCACTTGTATGTGTGTTTGTAACTTTCCATGCGGCACGTGTTATTATTCTAGAGTATCTCGTCGTCTAGACTTGACGTCGTAACGCATTCACCCCACCCCGCTCACCTATCACAGGCAATACTAATCATGGATAATTTTATATTTTTGGTTTTCGTACCCGTACACGCGTGCGTGACGTTAATTATATATAGAATGTTCAGTAAGTCAGGAAACGGGTTTCTATTGTTCTAATTGTTTGTAACAATGAGAATATATATATATATCAACAAATTTTTATTTTGACTGACCAATACCGCCCGCGGATAATGCGACTTACGTATATATATTTATATATTCCTACCGCCGCTGACGATGTTTATACCTTAGGTATAACGTTCCCTCGACCACAAAACAAG